TTGGATTCTGGATCTTCTCAAAGCTTCCCCTAGGAAAACTTCAGCCAATTCACTCCCCTTGAACAACTGTCAGTTTTGAAAAGTTGCCCAGTCTCTTTTCTGTGTTCAGAAAAAGACACTCAGGGCCAGGCTTCTTTTAGGGATGGCCAGGAAGGAGGAGAGGGAAAGGCAGGAGCTTTTGATGGGTGGACACACACACACACACACACACACACTCACACACACACACACACTCACACACACACGACTGTGCTTACTTCTGAAACATACTGCATCTGTCACTGCAGGACAACACCAGCTTCCTAACCACTAAAGGAAGGCAGCCAGAGCGCAGAGAACTCACGTTTGCAGTGCAGCTGATGAAGTTTGCACGTGGGAGAGCCATGACCCTATCTGACTTTTCCGTCAATGCCAGAGGGTTGCAGAAGAACAGACCAAAGACACATGCGTAGAATTCCAGGCCAAAACAGCCAGTTTTGACATATCTGAGGACAGATGTTGTCCAGCCCTGGGCAGCTGGTAGGCCAGGGGACCGGAAGCTGACTGTCTAAGCATGCCGGATATAGTGTGAATCGTGACCTGCGCTCCAGGTAAGCCCCGCTGTCATCATTGCTGGTTAAGGATCAGGGCTAAGAGCAGCACTGTGGGGGCTCATTAGTTTATGGCTGGAAGTAGTGAAGGTGACATCTCCTTGCTGCCTATGAGCCTGGCTTTTTGAAATTCCAGACAGGTGCCAAAGGTGTCATTGTGTCTGATGGAGCCTGCCATTGGCTTGCTTGCCGTGATCAGCAGCTGACGGCCTGACAGAAACGCTTTTCCCTGATTACATTTTGAACTTGGATGGTGCCACACTTAGTAACCTCATGAGAGGAAAGGCAGGGAGCAAGGGAAGCGCCGCAGCTTGAGGAGCTCTGCTGGAATCTTCAGCGTCAAAGAGCATACAGGTAAGGGGCTGGGGATTTAGCTCAGTGGCATAAGCACCTGCCTTGCAAGCAGGTGGTCGTGAGTTCGATCCCTGGTACTGATAAAAAAGAAAAAAGACCAAAAAAAAAAAAAAAAAGAGCACACAGGTAAACGACCAACCAGCCACACAATGCGGCTTCTGCATTAACTTCTCCAAATACTGACATCCAATGAACGACCATGGATCAAGGGCCAAGTCATTCAAACCAGTACAAGCTCCATCATTTGTTGTGTGAAACCAAACAGGAATGCGGGAGACCAAGTATGACTGTCAAGCATGACCATCGCCTACTGGTCATGAGTTTGAGTTGTGGAAAGATACTTTTGCTATCTACCAGTTCTGCATTTCTCAGTGGAGGTTTAAAAAAAGAGGAAGAAAGGAATCAATCACTCAGACGAATTGGTCTCTTCCAGGCTAGTGGCAAAGAACGCTGATTTGGCTTACTTTATTACCTGCACCTCTCTTGGCATGGCAGGCAGTTTGCCGATACACTTACTTTGGATATCAGTTAATGTTAGGTAATTATTGACATGGAAACATTCACATATGTTTACAAATCATTTCATTTTAAATACCAGCGGGGTTGTGGCTACAGACAGAAGGCCTGTCCAGACAAGAGAAAGCCGGTTAGCCAGGGCGTTTATTGCTCCTTTCATTGTTATCCACTCTATTTATTTATCTATCTGCCAGGGGGTTCCGGGGGCTTCTTTGGGCCTGTCCACTATATCAGGCTTCCTTAGCACTCCCTTATGGTCCTGTACCTGAGTGAGAGCGCACTTTTTCTTAACAGTCTGGGTGCCTGGCTCTTTGGGATGATTCAAAATCACACAAGGTTCCATTTTTAACACTGATACAGTCACAACACATCTGCTTATATAATCATCCTGTTGACACAACGTACTTTGAGTAGAAGGAGAGTGTCCTCTGATTAACAGCTAAGTCGAGCCTCTTCTGTCGGCCTCAAAACTTGCTTGGGAGATTGCCACCCACATGCCACCATCCACGCGAAACTGCTCTGTGACTTCTGGATACAGGAAAGTGCATGCTATCAGCCCTCATGACTTCTTCTTCAAATGACCAACACCATTTCTGGGCAGTAAGAGTTTTAAAACACATATGGTGTAAAACTCAAGCTTAAAATTGGTTGTACAGCTTGGTGAGAAAGATTTTTTGTTCTTCTGCCAAACAATATGCCTGGACTTTTCTCCAGGCCCAAAGTAACAAGGGAAGTTTAAGGCCACAGAAATGTGGCTAAATGAATGCTGATCTATATATACAAAGCCACTTAAAGTCCCTTATTCTCGAATCTGCAATAGAAGTGCACACAATTTCTCTAAGGGCAAAATTTCCTAGTTCACTGGTCCCAATACCCATGTTATTGATGAAGTAAAGGTAATATGGAAAATGACAGTGTCTGAGAAGCAATCTCAGATTACCTTTTTATTGCATGTAATTAGCAATGCAATTGAGAACTACTTTCATTCTAATATAAAATCACCAGCCATAGAGTTGCGATTGAAATTCACCATGGTGAGTCCAGCCAATAACTGTCAACTTCTTTCTCTTTTTATTTTCTACACATTTTTTTCCTTGCCCCCTCCAGTTTTAGCTCTACAGAATAATGAACCAATAGTTAAATAGGGCTAGCTCTGAGTTTCAGCCAAGATTTATAGTTTATCCATCTTCCAGAGGGACTATAAAACCACTGATGACATCTCATTTTGAAATCTTGTATTAAGAGTTGGGTGTGGTGCAAAAGTGAACTCTGGGAGTGATATTTAGACAAGTTCTGTACTTCAAAATAGAGTCTTTAACTCATATGAAGGCTTTCTACCATAGCTGGGGGATCTCAGCTAGGAAAATTATACCGCTTCCAACACCACACGCACACACACGCTTACCACATACAAACACATACACCCTTAATTTTATTCTACAATATTTTTGATATTTTGCCCTCTCAATTTTGCTTTGGGGTTTTAAAAATTCCAGGCAGATTCTTCTTCATAGAAGCATCAGCCTCAGATCCAAGTCAGCCTAAACCATCAAGGTAATAAAACATAATAGACTGGGGCTGGGGATTTAGCTCAGTGGCATAAGCACCTGCCTTGCAAGCAGGCGGTCGTGAGTTCGATCCCCGGTACCGATAAAAAGGAAAAAGACAAAAAAAAAAAAAAAAAAAAAAAAAAGAAAGAAAGAAAGAAAGAAAAACATAATAGACTGCCTTGCATTTAGAACATTCACCAGAAAGGGGCAAGCCACAGAAATAGGGTGTCAAGGAGCTGACCATTCATGCTCGCCCCAGGTGACCTCTTGTGGGCTCTGACACTGGGCAGATAATACGGCAAAGGGGAAAAGCTGGGTCTCGGGGTCTAGTGTGGCACCTGGAAGGCACCCAGGTCGACCCAAAGAGCAGAGATAAGGGCTGAATTCGGAGCAGCTCTGCAGTTGCCCTGTTTGCAAACCTCTTCGTGAAAAACCGAAGTCCAGCAGCTCTCCGTATCGGGCCAAAGAGGAAGCGGGTGGGAATGCACTAAGGAGAGTTTAGCTAAAAACAGCGAATAACAGGACGCTCGGGGGAGTGGTTGACAGCATTTCTTGCTGCGCTGCGCTGTTACACAAGAAACTTTCACGCACTGAGATCTTACTCTAGGGATAATCTCTGAGGTCTGCAAAGGCTGGCGGAGCCCCGAGGAGCGAGCACTTGCTAAACCCAGCGCCAGCGCTCCAGGGCTGGGCGACGGCACAGCAGCCCGGGGCTGGGGTTGTGGGGAGAGCGAGCAGCGGGCGCGGGGAAGGAGCTGCGGGTTCGGGCTCGGGCTCGGGGCGGGGTCCTCACCTGTTCCAGCGGGCCACCTTCCTCCGGTAATACCGCAGCGCCTCCTGGCTGGCCAGGAGCAAGTCTTCGGGCCCGAGGAGAGGAGGCTCCTCCGGGACGTTGTACAGCGGATGGGCGAAGAGGGCCTTCAGTTTGGACCGCGAGCGACTGCGGCCGCCGCCGTCCAGCTCAGCCCGGGGGGACCCCGCTCGGGAAAAGTTGTGCGCTCCCTTGCCGGGGACCGAGGGGGCCGCGTTCGCGTGCTGGCCCGGGGCGGAGGCGCGGTCCGAGCACTGGCAGCCCTGCGCGCGCTCCCGGGGCCGCAGCTGCCGCTGCACTTGGGGCCAAAGGTGGAAGTAGAGGTCGGCGGAGAAGAGCGCGCCCAGCAGCAGCAGGGTCAGCAAGCGGTCCCGGCGCAGACCGGGCATGGCCCCGCCGGGGCGCGGGCCGGCGGGGCGCGCGGGCCGAGGAGAGCCCCCGGGGAGGAGGGCGGCTCTGGGGACCCGGGAGGGCGCCCGGGGCGCAGGCAGAGGCGGTGCCTGGAGTCCCTTGGTCCGGCTCGGGCAGCCGATGGGGCTGCAGTGCTCAGCGCGTGGGTTAGCACCCCTCCCTTTCAAGGGTGTAGCCTGTGAACTTGGGGACCCGGTGCAGACAGCTGCGGGGGCTCCTGGGTGTTAGCGGGCGCCGCTTTTCCTCGCCGAGTGCAGACTTGGGGATGAGGGTCTTCTGGGCGCCCACTTCTTGCCCCTTTGCCCGGCTGCGGCAGGTGAAGGGTCCTGGGGCGCGCGCGGGCTGCTCCAGCTGGCGGACCGGCGGCGGGGCGGGGGTGACGGCCAGGAGGAGCGCGGCGAGCTGGCCAGTGCGAAGCCTGGGGCTTCTCTCCCTAGGATGCTGTTGCTGGCCGCGGCTCCCTCTGCGGGCGGCGGGGACGCCCGCGTCCCCTGCAGGCAAGGCCAGCGGGAGTGGGAATTTGGCGAGGCTGGGGCGCCCCGGGGCGATCTTGTCTGCGCTCCGCTTCTCCTAGAAGCAGAGGTAACGCGGGGCCTCCTCCCGCCTGGCCCTGCGCCCGCACCTCCGCCCACTCTCAGCTGGCACCTGCCTCTGGGCGCTGCAGCTTCCCGATTCCTCTGCCGGCTCAGCCTTCCACCTTACCACCCAACCCCCACCTCACGCCCATCCCCCCGTCGCCCCAGGCCTTCCACTTTCCTTTCTGGGGACCCAGGCCACCCATGGGGATGTGGGGGACCCAAGAAATGGGGAAGGAGCGCGGAAACCTTTGATTCCATTTTTATTTTTTAGAAAAATGACATCACAGTCCATTAAAAGCTTTTCTCCTGTAAGCTTTGCCAGATGTGTGTGTGTGTGTGTGTGTGTGTGTGTGTGTTGGGGTGCTGGGAGAGTTCACCTCCCCCAGGGTCAATTACATGCCACAGGACTGGAGCATGTAGTGGACGCCCAGGAAACGCGCACTTGGTGTATTCAAAGGCTTGACCTTTAAAAATAAGGCATCAGTTTTACCTAAAATTTTGATTTCCTGTTTGGATGGAGTTTGACTCCAATTCTGCCTGTGTTTTTAAAGAGGAAATTGTTCTCTCATTGAAGGAAACACGGGCCCCAGATGACCTTCCTCCGAACTTCTGAGTTTAGTTTGGTGTGAAAGTCCTCCATGCCCCGAGTCCCGGCAGGACATTTCAGCTTTCTCCTGAAACTCTGTGAGGTAATTTATATTCCTCCACCACATTTTGCTTTGGAGGAGAAGGGAGTGGGCCCTGAACTTCTGGCTCCTCTATTTAATGACCTCGGAATATACTAAAATCCAGTCTGATCCGGGAGGTGGCTCCACCCTGCTGGGAGCTGGAAGGAGGGGCACTGCCTACTGTAACTTCATTCGCCTGCCTTCCTGGGGTGGGTATTGTGAACAGTTTGAGAACTTTCTCCTCCTTATCCAGCATTACATTTTAATCGGTGTTCTAGTTTCTGAGAAACCTTGTAACTTCTGGTGCGTCTAATTAAACACCCCAAACCCCAGACAAAGAAGCCAGGCATTGAACCACACTGCTGTATCTTGCATTTTCTTTTCTGGACTGGCAAAGAAATGGATGTGAAGACGTCTTCTACCCTCAGTTGTCCCTAACTCATGCAGTCATGTCTCCTTCATAGAATACGTGATAATCTAAACGTATTTTCTGAAGCCAGAGAGCGAATGGAATTGGGGTAGGAGATGGCCTGGGTTGGCTGGAAATGTCCCCCAATCCCTCTCTTTCCTCACCAGAAAGGAGCCCCTGTCCTCTGTTCCTCCATGTGTGGCACCTGGCTTCTTTACCTGTCTCATCTACATCACATGGATGCTATTCTATGATGTTTGAGGGAACCCTTATTTCTTACGGCTTCCTGCTCTTGAATTATCCACAGCCTTATTATTTGTTGCTTAGATTTGCAAACAGGCTTCTAATTTATTTCTGCTTCCAGCACAGCTTCATTTCAGTGAGCACTTATCCTCTTACCAGAATGAACTTTTTAGTGTGCAGATGTGACTAGAAATTTCTCCACCTGGTCCTCCTCTGACTAGCTTCTCATGCTTCTGTGCTGGGTCACCCACTGTGACATGGTTCTTTATGGTCTGGCTTCTGTCTTCATTTCCAGTCTCATCTCTCTTTTTCTTGAGATATCCGCTCCTTCCATCTTCACCCCATAATAGTTTCTGCAGTTCTTCCAGTGTTTCTGCTGTCACAGAAATACCTTTAGTTAAATGCTCACTCCCTGTCCCCACCTGGAGAACATCCACTGTCTGCCCAAGCTTTGGCCACTTGACCCACTTTGTTTGAAGCTTGTCCTCATGCCACTGAAACTGAGTTCCACAGCCACTCCTAGCCTATAATGCCCCATATGTCCCCCCGTTTCAGCACTGTTCATGTCATATTTAGTTGTTTGTGGGCATTATGAGTTAAATTATGTCTCCCCCTCAAATTCATATTTTGAACTCTCTAAGTTCCAATGATTCAGAATGTGACCTTATTTGGAATGAGGGTAATTGCAGATGTGATTTATTAACATGTGGTAATGGGCCTTGGAGTAAGTGCCCTTAATCCAATATGATCACTGTCTTTATAAAAGGGGGGAAATTTGGACACAGACATGCACACAAGGGAAGATGAAGACAGAAATTGGGGCAGCGCTGTTACAAGCCAAGCAGTACTGAGATCACTGGAGAACCACCAGAATACCACCAGGAGAGAGGGAGGGAACAGAGTTTGCCTTTACAGCTTTGAGGAGAAACCAATTACGTTAACGCCTGGATTTTGGACTTCTAAATTCTACAACTACAGGACAATAAATTTCTGTTGTTGAAGCCTTGCAAGCTAATATAGTACCTGTTAGTGCCTCTCCTGGAGCACTGTCTCCTGAGTGTACACCAAGAGTCTCTTATCAACATACACAGAGCTCTAAGGACACAGCCTTCCATGTGCTAAATGCTAAAGAAATGCTTGTTGAATGAAAACAGGAACACTGACCACCTTGGTCACTATGGCCTCTCACATAGGACCTTGCACATAGCAGGGGCTTAACTATCAATTATAATAAAGTGACATTGCTTTGGACCCTGTAGGAGACACAGAAGCAATATTTGACATAGTTACTTTTCGGCTTCAAGCATCTTTTACGATCATTAGAGTGATGAGATCTGACTGTACCAACATCCAGTTAAGAAAAAGAATGAGACAGCTCACAGAGCAGACCAGGGAATCTGGGCCACTGCATGCATTAAGAGGAGCAAATGCAAAGAGCACTTGTGTTTCCTTCCAGGCTTGCTAAATACCAAGTGCTGTACTTCCAGGAATTAAATCATGGAAACAACAGCCAACATTTAAAGAAAAATTCCTCCATCTGTGAAGATTATACTCTATTTTTATAGCCTTGCACATGTTGCTTAAAACACAACTGGTTTTCTTGTTTATGTGGTTGATTTTCTGCACTAAACTATAACTCCATGGGTGCCAGGCTGCTGTGTTTTCTCTTTCTTTTTCCTGTCTTGTGGGAGCTCATTCACAGCAGGAGATATGGATGAGAATGGAAAAATTCATGTTGAATAAATGGTTTGCATGCTTGCCTACGTTTTCTGATGTGTGGAAGTAAGGAGTGGTGAACAGTTTTATTTAAAGTAAAACTTTGGATTTATAAAATCTGGCCACAGGTAAGTTACTATTATACTTATCTAGAACACCTATAATGAAATCTCAGTGAAACCATGGAAAGAGCAGTTAGGTAAGAGACAGTAGGGAAATAATTGTGTCCATTAGAATTTTTATGATGGTACAGTGTGTGAAAGGACAGTGTTTCCTGTACCTCTTAGCTGTCTTGGCAAGAGAAAAGAGAGGCAACTGAAATTCTATGTATGGCATATCCAGAATGGAGCAAGTTTAAGATACATTAGACTGGCGTGGTGTCATGGTTTGTGTCTGTGGCCCCCAGGCCTCATGAGTTTGCATTGTGCGTTTGTGATGGTTCATTGTCTTGTGCTTGGATTGATGGTGTCAGTGCTCCACCCACAAAGGGGTGGAGCCAGGATGTGATGTAATGGCAGGAAGAAGGTGTGTCTTGCTCTTTGCTGGTTCTGGCTTGCTGTTTGCAGCCGCCATGAACTGGGGCCCAGCCATGCCAGCCCGCCCTGGAACCAACTGAGTACGGATTGAAACCTCCAAAAACTGTAAGAAATAAACCTTTCCTTTCCCTACTTTGGGCTTCAGATATTTTGTCTCAGCAACGAGTAAAAAGTAACTAAGACACGTGGTATTACTCCAACACCTTATTCTGAGCCAAAAAGTCCAGAATTTTCTATGTGTGACTAAAATCTAATGGGTTAATTGGACCAAAAGTTTCTCAAAGTGCATCAGAATTACCTAGTTTGTTTATAAAAATGAAAATTACAGGGACATATTCTAGATTGTGTGAATCAGAATTTCTGCAAGCAGAGCCTCGCATTTGCATTTTTAAAAAATAGGTTGACTTTTATCAGCTTGTAAGAATCTGAAACACACTGAAGTCTGAGATAACAGGTGACATGAAGGTGCTAGTGTGAACATAAAAGTGCTTCCAAATAACCCAGCTAGGATGCACTGCAGGGTTCAGGGCACCTAACCTGTAATCACAGGACCATAAGGGGGCTGAGGTCGTGTTTAGTCCAGCATAATCTACCACTTCTGTTAGGGAACACAGAGGAATGATTCTGCAGCCTATTCCTTACAAATGGTAGGTATACAGGGTGGCTCTGTTGACTAAAAAGTCATGGGCCTATTTAATAGTAAATTTCCTTTGGGGCCAGGTATAGTGATGCCTATAATCACAGTTACTTAGGAGGCTGAGGCAAGAGGATCTCAAGGTTGAGTCCAGTCTGAAGAACTCAGTGAGCCCCTGCCTCCAGGGCAAAAAGGACCAAAAAGATAGAGATATAGCTCAGTGCTCTCTAGGATTCATCTCCAGTACCACAAAAACAAGAACAAGAACAAGAACAAGAACAAAAACAAAAAAAGAGAAGAAGAGGAAACAAATAATTCCCTTTGGGAAGTTCAGTTATCTTCTCTGGACCTCATTTTCCTCTTTTGAAACAGGAAACATCAAAGTCAATAAACTCTGTTACCCCTTTTATTTCCCCAAAATGAAAATTTTATATTTTATATAGATATTTAATAATCCAGTTCTTTTTCAAAAGTATGTTCATAGTAAAAAACCAAGTAATTATGATAACAAATCAGAACATTGTGTAGAAAAGAGGAAGAGTGGTGATTGGGAGTGGGGAGTGTACCCTGCGGTCCTTGTTCAGTCATTGGCTATAATGATGACATGGAACAAATTGTTTAATTTCTGTGGCCTTCACTTTCCCTCACATGTAAATCATTAATTTGAGCTAGCAATTCAAAGTTCCCTTTCAGAATTAATTTCTTTCAGAAAAGAAGATAAAATAAGGACATTCTTAGATGAAAGAAAATAAAAAGAATTTATCACCAGTTAAATACGGAAGGAATGCTAAACAAAATTTTCAGATGGAAGACAAATGCCAGCAGAGGGAAAAGCATAACATCAGAAACAAAGCAAGAGGGGCTGGGGATTTAGCTCAGCGGCATAAGCACCTGCCTTGCAAGCAGGCAGTCGTGAGTTCGAATCCCTGGTACCAGTAAAAAGGAAAAAGACAAAAAACAAAACAAAACAAAACAAAAAAACAA